CTGTTGTTATTTCATTAGATGATCTTTTCTTATATTTGTATTTACCATTATTCTGTTTTTGTTGATCTTTTTTAAGGTTTTCCGCTTGTTGTTGATACTCTTTTTTGACTTCTGGATCTAACATACTCCATAATTGTCCGATTAACTTTGATACTTGATGATTGCTTAAATGACTGAACTTATTTTTAACTACATGACATATATTACTTCGAAATATCATAAAAGCATTCGGAGATTTTTTTAGTGTTTTCTCATTATAAGATGTGTTTACTGTTGTATTTAAAATAAATGCCGGGATTTTTATATTTAATCTAGGCAATTCCTTAATCATGTCTTTTGAACTAACATTCTCATTGTTTCGTACCAAAATCGGGAAATAACCACTTGGAATGAAAACAGTTATCCCATTGCTGCTTTTAATATTGGAATTAATGTTTGTTTCTTCAATTGGAGTAAAATTATCAAAGTTCATAATTATATTAATTTGATTATTTACTCTCGAAATTTTTTACTAAATAAATAGATTTTAGAATAATGCAAATGAATTAGAAACAATTCAACTATTTTACTTATTCCTTTTTTTTTTCTTGTTTAAAGATTTTTGTGACAGGTGCCGGTTATGACGTTAAAATTGATAAATTGTATTGTAAAAACTATATCTAGAAATACGCCCGGGCACTATTTCGTGGAAAATGAATTAAATTGGCGTCTGCTTTTTGAATTAATTTAACGCAGTATTATTGAAAAAAAAAACGCCTTATTTCAAGACAATATGGTTCGTCAGATACAAATACATTTAAATTTAATTGTAATTTTTTAATTAAAGTATTATATTAATTATTGAATTTAAAAATTCTTGGTTACATTTTAAGAGATAAAAAATTGGACAGTTAAGGCAATATTATTTTATAAATGGCCAGAATGTGTATTCTTAACTTGAATTACCAGATAGGTATAAGTTGATAGAAGACGTAAGATAGATACTTAATTATTTATTGGCGTTAGGTAATAAAGTTATAGAAATTCACGTGATTCAATGGACTCACGGGTTCGCGAGAAATATGTTTTTTAAATTCCGATATGTTTAAGATTCAACGTTTAATTTAGCCGGCATTTAAATCGTCCTGGCCCATGATAAACATAATTCGGTTTACACTATAAAAAAGTTTTTATACGGTTAAACGGTTCCAATTCCTACAGTGAACAAATAACAAAATTCAATTTTCAATTCGACCAAACAAATCATCTGATTTGTCAACCTATTAAAAAGAAGCGTTTTATATTTGGTGAGTGGATGACACCATAATTAAAATATTACGTGAAGAAGAAAACAGCGAATGATCGTATGTTTGTTACTGTTAGACATTCTGCAAATCTGAAAAATTATATTTGGAGATGGATTTTAAATACTTAATAATTGTTTACAACTTAAATGACCGTTGCTCATTAAATCTACATGAGTGAGATATAATTGAAAATATTTATATCAATCTCACCAATTAATTTACAATGTTAACTAATCGATAAATTTTATTAATTAGAAATCCCAAATAATGGTAAGTTATGTTTCAAAAACACAGTGTAATTAAGAATATCAAAATCTAAACAATGATTTTTTTCATCTGGGAACAGCCCACCATTAGGAACAGAAAAGGCTGTAACCGATAAGTATTTTCTAGCAAGTTTTGCCATTGTAGAAAACACATTCTTATTCTCACTCCACCATCTTAAAGGATTATTTTCCTCTGTTATAGGCAATTGAGGTAATTCAATATATTTATCAAACTCTGTTTGTCTATTTTCTTCAATAAATATTTGAAAAAAAGTTAACATTTTCGAATCATTATCTATAGTGTTAGAAGTTACTGGTTTTATAAGTTTCGTAAATTGTTCCCGAAGATTATCTAAAATTTGGCTTCGAAGTTCCTATATAAAAAAAAAGTATTTATTTTGTTTATTTTTATGGCATTCAAACAACAATTAAAAATATTATTTACACTTTTAATATAAAGCAATTTTTTGAAACGAGGATCAAAAAAAGAT